CAGCCTCGACTGCTGAGCTCCGGCGATCCTTCCGCCTCAACCTTCCGAGTAGCCAGAACTACAGGCACGCGCTACCACGCCTGGCTGATTTTTTGATTTATTGTAGAGATGAAGTCTCGCTGCCCAGGCGGGTCTCGAACCCACGGGCTCAGGCGATCCACTCACTTCAGCCTTCCAAAGGCGCGGAATTACAGGCATACTTTTTTATTTCCCTGTTCTACTTCCTGGTTGAGGGTTTACTGTTGCTTTTCTTTGGTTACTGTTTTAGAACTCTGCTTTAGGTAGTCACTGTAGTTTAGAATCAGGTTTGACATTCTTTAACAATTTGCTTTTTTTTTTGAGTTGGAGTCTCACTCGGTCGTCCAGACTGGAGTGCAGTGGCCGCTCCTGGCCACCACAGCCTCGCCTGCTGGGCTCCGGCGATCCTTCCGCCTCAGCCTTCCAAGGAGCCGGAATTACAGGCGCGCGCTACCACGCCCGGCTGATTTTTTGATTTATTGTAGAGATGAGGTCTCGCTGCCCAGGCGGGTCTCGAACCCGCGGGCTCAGGCTATTTGCTTTTGATCAGGGGAAGTGGGAGACAGAAAAGCCAACTTGGAGAATGCATTTAGGATGTGTTTCTTGTATGAGACTGGCATAAAGCTAACCATGAGTACTTCTGTGTTTCATCTCTTTGAGAAAGGAAAATGTGACTTGCATTTTTTTTAACCCACTATTATTTAGTAACTTCTTAATGCAACATTTTAAGCCATAAAAGTTTGACTGGAACATACCTCTCATGCAGGTGCTTGCGCAACTGATGCTACTAGATTTCTTGACGCCGGGACCTCTGTTAAATAAGGAATTTGTTGTCACTTTAAATGTTTTTAAAAGCCTTGAAAAATAAAGAGGAAATATTTTTTTAACCGAGGGTTATCGCAGTGAAAAGGACGTGGTCACTTCACACAGGAGCTTGGAGTCTCGTGTAGGAGAAACCAGGCCCCGAAAAGAGCGATGGTGACCGCGGCATGGCGGGGGGACGGGACGAGGATCGGTGGGTGGGCGGTCATGCCTGGATCCGTGCCTGCGTGGCAGGGGAAGAAGTGGGGAGTGAGTTGGGGGCCACAGGAGGAATAAGGGCTCAGTGTCGGGCAAGGACCCGCCAGGCCTGGGGACATCCAGGTGGAGGCATCCAGAGAGTGACAGGCTTTGTGTCCTGGAATCTGAGAGACCCAAGTGAGACACGGGGTCAGGGAACATTCAGCAGAGACCAGGACGGGGTATACCGGGAAAAGGGGTGGGAGTGTCAACGAGGCCAAGGACAGAGGGCGGCAGCCTGTGTGGACTGCGAGACACATGTCGGGTACATGGCAGGGCACAGAGCTGTCCCTTCGTGTAGTCTGTAGGTGTCTGCCGAGGAGGGAATTGGGTGGCCTAGGTCAGTGAGAATTTCGTACCATGTTTGCGTCTTGCCTGTTCCAAAAATAACTTTCTGAGGACAGGCAGGGAAAGAGAAGCAAGAAAGGCCAAAGGAAAAAGCGTGGTCAGCAGTGTCAAATGATGCGTAGGGATCAGATGACATCGAGACAAAAGTTACTGTTGAGTTTAACAAAGAGGCCTTTGACTGTCCTTGGGTGTGTCTGTGGATTGGTGGGGTAAGTAAGGTGGTAGCGGGTTACGGTTTTCTGTCCCAAATGTCACCAGCTGGCTGTGGGTTTGGGAGAGAGAGTGGGAGGGGGCATAATCTGTAGTTTAACCATTTTTCTTACTATATAAAACATTCCAAATTTAGCTTAAAGATTATTAGAACAGGAATGAGCCTTGGAGTTTCTTTACCTAACATCTTTGTTTTTTAAATAAGGGAACTAAAATAGAACCAGAGAGAGAAAGTGATGCCCCACGCAGATTAGTCCATGGCCTGTCTAGAACCTCCTGGACGTTTCTCCTGGGCGTGTTCCACCCTCAGCAGCTGTGTGCCTTGGGCAAGTTACCTGCCTACTCTGCACTTCAGTTTCCTCATCCATGGGCAATAGTTGTATATTATAGATCTGCTTGTGAGAATTAAATTACTGTCTGTAAAGTGCTCAGTACAATGCCAGATACAGTATGGCTCAGTAAAGGCTAACTATTAATCCGTTATTCAAACCACCATTCTTCCCAATGTACTATAGCTGTAGTTTCCTTTTAGAATTTTTTTCTCAGAAAGCCTTAGAGCTTTCATCAAATTCACCCACTTCTACGACACCCATCTCTTCCCAGGCCAGTTGACAGGTATGATCGAGACAGACCGCCAAGAGGACGTGGTGGTCCACGAGGGGGCATGCGTGGCAGAGGAAGAGGCGGCCCTGGAAGCAGAGCTTTCGATGCCTTTGACCAGAGAGGGAAGCGAGAATTGGAAAGATACGGTGGGAATGACAAAATGTGAGTGTCTTCTTATCAGCATGCCGTTATTCTTGTGGGAAGCGGATCCCTAGGCAGCGCTTGTGATCACATTTCTCTGACTTGGAGATTGACGGGAGCGCAGCTTCCAGTTTAAGGGAATGTTCTTTCTTCCTCTAGAGCAATCAGAGCTGAAGACAACATGGGTGGATGTGGAGTTCGCACCTGGGGACCAGGGAAAGATGCCAGGTATGGTGCCATTGTGTGCCTTCCAGAACTTGCCACTCAGGGTTATCTCCATCTTTATTTGCTTCTCTTGGCAGTGATGTCCTCTGTGTTGTGCTTTATACTTGTGTGCCCCTAAGTAAAGACTGATTTTAGGCTCTTGTTTAGTGATATGATTTTTTAAAACAAATTTGTAGTGTTGTGATTAGGTTTGAAATTGCTTTTAAAATTCTGTTATTTTAGCCAACAGTATTTGTGACAGATGACTACGTATTTGCTGATGCTTCAGACACATGGCACTGTTCACTGGCCATGCCTCAGAATGTTTTTGAAATTTCTGGATATTCTGTATTTTTCTGTGACCTTCCAAAGTTCTTGTAGGTCCTTGATGCGTTTCTTTTATAAAATCATTTGCAGCGGCACGTTTCGCCTGAGGCTCAAATTGGACATTTCTCTGAGGTGCTTCTTGGCACCTCAGATCTGTGCCACTTATTTTGCTAGTTAGAGTAGGTACTTGGTTCTACGCTGCTCGACTTCTGTCAGTTCATGGCTGCAGAGATGGTGGCTTCCTGGTGCCTGCAAAGGCAGAGGCAGGGCGCACTGCGGGACAAGGCAGGTGAGCGGTGGTGTGGGCGGGCTTTCCGCTGGCTTGAAGGCTTGAGGGGGTCCACTTGTCTGCTTTTCTTCTTTTGAAGAATATGAACTTCTTACAGGAGCTTATTTTTCTTACATCGTTCCCTTTAAGACAAATGTACAGAGTCATATCAAGTGTAACAGCATTAGATTTACGACTGTCACTCATGTTGTCCTTGAAAAGAAGAGAAACTTGTGGAGTGCCACAGGAGCTTGATGACAAGTCTTTTTCTTTTCTTTTACTTTGACAATGTATTTTAAAAAGTAATCAGACTAAATTATCTGATTTACCACCTTATCGAGTCCTGTCACTCCATGTCAGTTTGCATTTCAACTTCAAAGCATTTTGGCTCCAAGTTGTTACTTTATTAGACTTGTGGCATGAAGAGGTGACTGCGTATGCCCCTGGCAGGCTGGCATGTCCCAGTGTGGAAATGGCACATGCCCCATGGCACTCATCTTGAACTGGTGTGTGAATCGTAAAGTCAAACCTTAGGTGACAATAATAATGTAGCTGAAAGATTTCCTTCAAATAAGACTAATTAACTTAAAAATTGAGATTTTGACTTGACATTTGAAAACAATGTAGTGCAGAGGAGTTATATGCTGCTTTTTTGTTTTGTTTTGCTTTGTTTTTATTTGAGTCACGATCTTACTCTCATCACAGACTCTTCCTCCTGGGCACAGACAATCCATCCTCCTCAACCTCCTGAGTAGATGGAATTACAGCTGCATGCCACCATACTCAGTTCATGTTTTGATTTTTTTTTTTTTTAGAGAGGCGAGGTCTTACTGTGTTGCCCAGGCTGGTCTGGAACTCCTGTGTTTCTCAGTTTTCTAAAGACTCAAGCAGTCCTCCTACATCTGCCTCCCATAGTGCTGGGATTATAGGCATGAGCTACCACACCCAGCTAATTAAAAAAAATTTTTTTAGAGATGAAGTCTCGCTATGTTGTCTAGGTTGGTCTTGAACTTCTGGACTCAAGCAGTCCTCCTGCCTCAGCCTCCCAAAGTGCAACAATTACAGGTATGAGTCATCACACCCTACCTACTTTTGATTAGTGAGTAGAAAGTGGAGGTGTGCCTGACACAATGAGAGATGTGTTTACCTCCTGGTAGATTATAAGTATAGGGATTTCATTCTAGTTGAGTGTTGCTCTTTGATGACATTGACAGCAATACCTGGATTTAAGGACAAGATACTTTGAAATTGGTGTGACTGAGCCATTTTAGTATTATTGGCTTTCTGCAGCAGTGAGTGTCTGCTGAAATAAAATGTTTCCATCTGCAGTAATTTAAAAAGTATGTCAGTTATTTTCTTGTTAACAAGTAGAATAGACACGCTACCCATGAGTGCAGTTTTCTTTCTTTCTTTTTTTTTTTTTTTGAGTCAGTGTCTTACTCTGTCGCCCAGGCTAGAGTGCAGTGACATGATTATGGCTCACTGCAGCCTCAACATCCTATACTCAGGTGATCCTTCCACCTCAGCCTCCCAAGTAGCTGAGACTACAGACATACCTACACACTTGGCTTATTTTTTCAGTTTTGTAGCGGTGAGGCATTGCTGTGTTGGCTAGGCTGGTCTTGAACTCACGGACTCAAACGATCCTTCCTCCTTGGCCTCCCAACTCATGAAGGCAGTTTTCAGTGATGCTGCCTTTCAACTTTTATTGTGAGGAGCAAGACAGTTTTATGTTGTTATCAAGCAAGATCTGATGAAAATCTGTTGTTGTTAAAGATTGGGTCAAGTGTGTAGTGAATTAAATTTGAACTAGGTAACAAAGCCATTCATGGAACATATTTGCACAAGTAGGCATTTTCTGTACCTATATAATGGAAGTCAAAATGTAGACATGGGCCCTGGGGTTATATCTTTCTTCTAATAAATTCAACATTGGTGATTTACTTTCAACAAAATAATATAATCTGCTAGATTCTTTGTTACTAACTTCAAAACGCATTTGCTTTATAATTTTGGTCATATGGTTCTATAATAGCTGTAAGCACAATATTACTCTTATATTTATTTTATTCATAAAATACTTTAGGTCAACATCGGGGGAGATCTGTGGCTTTTCTGTAAAATCAATTAATTGCTCCAGTTTAAGAAATACTGCTTTTTACCGAGTCTTTTGGTGTTTTGGAGTCTCCATGTTTTTTCTCCCTTTAATGATTTTTAATTGTCAAAATGTATAAGCTGTCAGAAAACTCAGGCTTTTTTATCCACTTGGCTTATTCCACAGCCGAGGGAGTAGACAGTGGAGTTACTTATCTCTGCTCCTGCACTAGACTTTGGAGGGACTGGGTGCTTATACACCCAGTGACCCCGCTGGGGAGAGTCTGAGGTGCAGATGGGATGGTTTGTGAAGGGGCCTCTGCAGGGTGGGCCAGCAGCCTTTCCAGGGTGGCGCCCATTGGATTTAGGAGCTGTTTTCTTAAAAAGACAAAGTTAATTATGTAAATTTTATGTTAAAAAGCAGTAATTTTTTTTTAGAAATTCATTGCAGTAATTTGGAGTTGAGAATTTTAAAATTATTTAAATTTGAAAGGTCTATTCTGTTTGCGGTTCAATTTATGTTTACTCATTTAAAATAAAACTTGTTTTTAAAGCCCTCTGTGAAGCTTTTTCCTGAATAGGAATGAAAAAATGCTGATTCTGTATGTGGACTATAAAATATTTCTAATGGGTATATTTATGTTGACTAATTTTAGCAACTGGAACTTTTTTTTATAAAGTAATGTTCAGATAAGAATAATGTTAGCATAGAAAAGAAAAATTAAGATCATGTGTACTGATCAAATTAATCTTTATTGTGCTGTCATTTCTAATGTGTAGATTGTGTATTTAGTTGTGATGGTATAGAAATCAGTGTTTCAAAGCCTATTTTTCTGGATGGTTATTACCAAGTGTTTAGGATCATACACACTCATTTTTTTGTGAAATGTTTCCTCTTTCTTACCTTTTCTTCAGTTTGGTATGGCATATTCTTATTTTTAATAAATCATTTAGCAAATGTAGTTTAAGAATTTTTATGACTTCTTTTAATATTTGGAATTTTCTAGGATAATAAGAGTTTTGAATAATTGTTCTGATAATTTACAATCTGTTCTTCATTTTAGATCTCATGGAAACTTCTGTTTCTCAAATAACTTTTCATATTTCTGGAAATAATTTATATGGATAAGCACCCATTTTCTCTTTTTCATTTGATGTGGGTGGCTGTATTTGTGGATAATTTCTTGAAGAACAGGTGCTTAAGGAAAAGCACACTAGAATGTGTTTTCTGCATCTTAAGCGTGCAAGGGCACTGGATGACGTCCATACTTGGATGACTGAAGAGGTTCTTGCTGTTTTTCAGTGACGTGGAGGCGACAGCACCTACAGAAGAGTCTGCAGTGTTGGAGGAGACCCCGGGTGCCCCGGAAGAGGAATCTCCTGCCAAGTAGGTGTCATTCATTTTCCCATTGGGTGGTTGGTCTTTTCTTAATATTTTCTAAAAGCTCTTCCTGGAGTAGAAGTCTCATCACGGAGGACTGGTCTTAATGTGTTAATGGCTAATGGTCAAACTAAATAATACTTAGTTCAAATAATCTGCTGAATGATTACGAATGATAATTTCTTTTGAGGTGGGATCTCACTCTGTCATCCAGGCTGGAGTGCAGTGGCATGATCACGACTCGTGGCAGCTTCACACTCCTTGGCTCAGGTGATCCTTCCACCTCAGCCTTCCAAGAAGCTGGGCTACAAGCATACACCACCATGCCTGGCTAATTTTTTTAGAGACGAGGTCTTGCTATGTTGCCTAGGCTGGCCTTGAACTCCTGGGCTCAAGTGACCCTCCCACCTTGGCCTCCTGAATTGCTGGGATTACAGGTGTGAGCCACCCTGCCCAACCTGTGAGTAATTAATGGCTTGAGTTCAAGAGTTCTGTCCCCCACTCCACCAGCAGCTGTTCGTCTCCTCACTGTCGCTGCACTCTCCTTGGGACTGCATCCTCCCGCTCTTTTCTCGTGGAACTTTGGTCCCTGGTCCATCTCTGCCACCTGTGCCCAGTGTTAGAGGGTGGTGCCCTTGACCCTCTCGCTCCCTGGCCTTCTGGACTTGTGTCCCTTGCTAGGAAGCCCCCGTCCTGGATGGCTCCGCCCTCTGCCTTCTCTGCCTGCACCCACAGACTGAGCACTGCCCGTCACACAGCGAGGCCCACTGGGACCCCGGTCATTCTTGATCACCAGTGTTCCGAAACGAGGCCCAGCAACCCCTGCTTCTCGGATTCACGCTTTCTCCCACCTTGTACAGCGACTGTTGTGATTCCTCTTGTCTCCTCCGAAACCCACCCTGCCTCCTATTCATGCTCCCCCATCGTCTTCACCCGCACCTTATTCCCTCTCCAGATGTGACATTGCATCCTGTGTCACCGAAAAATTCAGAGCCATCAGCAGAAGCTTTGTCATCGTGCTGCTCCCCAAGGTGCAAACCTGCCTCCTCAGCACACCTCTTGGCCTCCCTCCCTCGGGCAAACAGGAGCACCTTGCCGGCCCTGGCCTTCCTGCCTCACGCTGGAACAGGGCTGCTGCCCCCGCGCTCCCTCCCGCTGAGGCTCCTCTTTCTCCTTGCTCCAAGGAGCGGCCGTGCTCGGCTGCGTCCTCCTGGCTCCGGTCTCTGGGCCCACCGTTTAAACGCGCTCAGCCTCTCCTGTCTGAATCTTCTCCTCTCAAGCCACACTCCTCTCTGGCGGCCTTTTTTGGAGCTGTGTGCAGCCTTTCTTCATTTCCTCCCTCTCCCGCACTCCTTCGTTGCCCCGGTCTGGCCTGACCTCCTTGTCCCTCTGAGGCAGCCCCCCGTCTCCGGACCTCATGGATGCTTCCGTCTGAATCTTTCTTGCCTCCTGGAAGCCCTTGATGCGATGATTCCTTCTTCGACTCACATTCATGTCGGTTTCTGTGTCACCTGCTCCCGTCTGGTCTTCCTTCTGCCTTCCAGCCTCTCCTTGGCAGGCTCATCCTTGACTTCTTGATCTTTTAAGATATGAAGTTCTTGCCGGGTGCAGTGACCCGAGCCTGTCACCCCAGCACTTTGGTAGGCCAAGGTGGAAAGACTGCCTGAGGCCACGGGTTCGAGAACAGCCTGGGCAACTTGGTGAGACCTCATCTTTACAATAAATCAAAAAATTATCCAGGTATGGTAGCATGCACCTGTAGTTCCAGCTACTTGGAAGGCTCGCCGGAACCCAGCAGGTCGACTCCGGGGTGACCCTGAGCATGCCACTGCACTCCAGCCTGGACAATGGAATGAGACTCCTACTCAAAAAAAAAAAAAGTGAAGTTCTGCTGGGCACAGAAGGCTGAGGAGGAAGGATCGCCTGAGCCCAGCGGGTTGAAACTGTGGTGACTGTGAGTGTGCCACTGCACTCCAGCCTGGGTGACAGAGTGGGACTCCTACTCACACAAGAAAAATGGTGGAGTTCTTAAGGCCCTGCCTTGGGCCTTCCTCTCTCTCCAGAGCCTCTATAGCAGGGGTCCCCAGCCCCCAGACTGCAAACTGGCACCAATCCGTAGCCTGTTAGGAACTGGGCCACACAGCAGGAAGTGAGTGGCGGGCGAGCAAATGCAGCTTCATCTGTATTTCCAGCTGCTCCCCATCGCTGGCATTACCGCCTGAGCACCATCTCCTGTCAGATCAGCGGCGGCATTAGCTTCTCATGGGGACACGGTCCCAGTCGTGAACTGCACATACAGTTACACACTCCTTATGAGAATCTAATGCCTGATGTTCCCCCCCATCCATGGAAAAACTGTCTTCTGTGAAACCGACCCCTGAGGCCAAAAAGGTTGGGTCCTGCTCTGTAGGACCCCAGGCTCCCATGTGGCTTCAGCCACCGTAGACACACTGACTCCAGGCTCTCTCTGGCTCAGCCTTCGGCACGGGCTCCAGGCCTGTGTGTCCATCTGCCTGCTGGACCTCTCGCCCTGACACCCAACACTCTTCTGCCCAGCATGTCTGGGACTGAGCAGATGCTTCCCCACACCTCTGGTCCTCGGGGTGCTTCCATCTCGTGGAACAGCATTGTCATCCATCCAGCTGTTCAAACAGAAGCTAGGAGTAAGCCTTGGCATGTCCCTCTTGACCCCTCTCCCCCTGTAATCCGGTCCTTCCCCCTCTCCTGGTGAAGTGCACCCCTGAACTGTCCACCGTCTCCACTCACCAGCATAGGCCAGGCTGTTGTCATCGCGGCTGTCGCTGTAGCACCTAACAAGGCCCCCTGCGCCATACTTTCTTCACCAAAGTGACTTTCACACGGGCACTCTGAGGTCATGCCATCACCCCTTGCTTGAGACCCCCAGGGCCTTGCCGCTCCCCTTCCTGGCCTGCACGGGCCTGCGAGGTCTGGCCCTGCAGAACTCTCATGCTGTCTCCTGTGCCTGCTGTGGGTTCCCACGTGACCTCTTCTTATGTTCTCAATCACACTTTCTCCGCCCCCTTTCTCCTTCCCATCTGCACACCTGCCACACCCGCACCTACTGAGCCCACCTCTTCCTCGTCGCTCAGCTGCCAAGAGGCAGACTGTCCAGTGGTTACAAGCACCACCGCTGAGCCCGTGTGCTGAGTTCAAACCCCAGCTCTGCTACTTACTAGTTGTGCAAGTTATTTAATTTATCATTTATTGCGACTCAGTTTTCTTTATCGGTAATAATAAGGTCCCTGCATCATCAGATTGCAGGGACTGGATGTGTGTGTGACACAGAGGGCAGGCTGGCATGCAGTCAGTGCCCCATCGATACCCGCTTGTTAATACTGGTATTCACTGCAAGAGTGGAAGGCCCTAGTGATTGAGAACTGAAAACAAGAAATGGGTTTAATTAGAGAACAAGATGAACAGTCACTATGAATACTTAGTGAATTAACTAAGGAAATAGGCCAGCAGTTTCTGTGAATGTTGAGGTGACCAGACACTTGGGAGAACAGCACATCCTCTTTGAGCTAAGACATTTTGTGCCAGTGTGGATTGCGTAAGACAGAATTGTTCTAATCTGTGGCATTGATTGAGATGCTCTAGCGCTCATCATGTGAGACAAAACCATTCTCGAAATTAGTTGTTTTGGAAGACAGAATGGTGCTGGATGATTGGTGGCAGCCTTACTACACTGTCCCAGTAGAACTGACCCACACCTGGAGATGGTGAGTGGCAGTTCAGGACTGGACTACTGCCCAGGAGAAGCAGCTATGTTGGCGACTATCCTGAGAAATCCTTGTCACACTTGAACGTTATTACTCAAATTTCCAACAAGACAATTGAATTTTATTTTTAACTTCAAAATTAAACTGGTATCTGAAAAATTCATTCAGTGACAGTGATGCTCTCTGGTCTCAGCTTTGTCTGGACATTGACTTAAGATTTTGGCAGTTAGCCGGAATGGACAAGATTTTGGCAGTTAGCCGGAATGGACATTCAGTGCCCCTCCCAGTGTTACAGTGCTAGAGCTTCTGGACAGATGAACCCAGCACTCTCTCTTACTTGTATTCACACGCACAACTCAAAGTACGTACATTATCCTCAAATTTGACACATTTTACTGATAATTGTATGTGCCATGGCCACCCTTCCTTCCCTCCTTCCTTCTTCCTCCTTCCATTACAGAAGTATTACATGTTCCCTGTCACTTGGTGGTCTAGTGCCTGAGGATACCTGTGACAACTTGCATTTTGTTTTAAGAGTAAATCTGGCCAGGCTTGGTGGCTCAGCCCGTAATCCCAGTACTTTGGGAGGCCGAGGCAAGTGGATTGCCTAAGTCTGCGGGTTCGAGACCAGCCCAGGCAACGTGGTGAGACCTTGTCTCTATAATAAAGCAAAAAAATGAGCTGGGCGTGGTAGTGCGTGCCTGTAGTTCCGGCTCCTTGGAAGGCTGAGGCGGAAGGATCGCGGAGCCCAGCAGGTCGAGGTTGTGGTGGCCGTGAGTGTGCCACTGCACTGCAGCCTGGGCGATGGAGTGAGACTCTGACTTAGAAAACAAACAAACGAAAAGAATAAACCTGACCTTTACAGAGCATCTGCCATGCACCATGCACCAAGAGCTGCTCTGAGCGCTTCCACGCCTTGACACACTGCTGCTTGGCGAAGGAGGAGGTACTGTTGTCATCCTCACACTGGGACATCAGGGCTCAACACTTCCCCGAGGTCGCCTCCCTGACACACACACAGCCAGAATTGAGCCAGGCACTGCGCCTAGACCCTCACGCCCTCATGCTAGTGGGTGGCAGCAATGGGGAAAGGGGCCGTTTAGACTGCCACGCTGGGGAGACCGAGAAGAGGAGAAGGTGTTGATCCCCAAGCGTGAAGAGCAGCTGCCGAGATCATAGAGCATTTCCCGGGTAGGAATATGGAGCAACAGCTCCCTTCCTTCCTGGAAAACAAAAAGTACTTTATTAAAATACTCACTGGACACC